AAAAAAAAAAAAAACAACAAAACCACCCAAACCACCTAGTTTGGGGCAGGAAGCTGGGCGAGTGGGTCAGTAGCCCAAAGCCACCCGCGGTGAGCGGGGCACGGGGAACCCACAGGGAACCCACGCAGGGAGCTCCGGCTTGGCCGGTGGGAGCTTTGCAGGGGTTGGGAGCAGCGGTGGGGTGCGGAGGGAAGGGGGGAGCGCCGCAGCTGAAGAAACGTCCACGGTGACATTTAAAAACACCAGTGAATCCCTGCCCCCAGCAGAGAGCAGGGACAGGAGTCAAGGAGTGGGAGAGAGAGATTTATTATGTTTCTGGGAGCAGCGCCTTTACGTTTGGCTTGGGATAAGGTCACCTCCCCCCAGCCAGAGCACAGAGATGGGGCGGGATGTTTATTCAAAGCGACGGGAACAAGAAGCCGCAGCCACGACCCCGACCCCGGGGTCCGCTAAGAGCATGGCGCTCCACGTGTCACCCCCAGCGACGGCGTTTGCCAGAGCCACTCACAAAACATCTTTCCAACGACATACTCGAGGGCCAGAGCATGTCGTAGGAGTCGGTGCAGCCTCTCCGCTCCCGCCGGGAAAGGGAGGGCACGAGACAAGAATAAATACACCTTTGACAGCCGTCCCGTCCCCCCCGGGACCCCACACCCGCTGCCACGTGGCCTGGTGAAGGCATTTACAGGAGGAAATCTGTCAGCCAGGATCCAACAAACCAGGAGACGCATCCCGAAGGGGTTTATGGCCGGCTCGTTCGCATCCTGATCTCCTCAACCAGGCTCTCCCTGCGAACGTTGACCTACACAGAGGGGAGCACAAAGTTGCTTCAAATACAACACCAGTGGCTTCACGTATTGTGACCTTCTCTGTTCCCAGAGGGATGTCCCCCCAACTGCTTTCGGGGCCCTTTGTCTCAGGAGATCACACCATGGTGCTGTCACAGTCCCAACCTGTGAGAGCAAGCACCTGCCTGCAACCCTGCCGAGTGCTCTCCTGCCCAATGACTGTGAGAGCAACACTCTTCCCAGTCTTTCCTACTGGTTCCAAAACCAAGACCAGTGCACAGATCAGTCCTGGTCCTGCTTGTTGCAACAGAGCACCTCCAGGACCTTCAGCGATGGTCCCACGCTCTGGAGGGAAAGCAGGAGCAGCCATACAGCCCATTGAATTGCCCCCACATGCTTCAAGCTCCTGAACCGAGGAGTAGCTAGGAGTTCAAGGACTCCACGTGATGGGAGACACTCCAGAGTTGGAGACAACAGTGCTCCACAGCTCCACGAAACTGCACGGGGTGAGGAACTGGACTGTGGAGTGTTAGAGAAATCCCTGGAGAGACCACTGCTTGAAAAGATCTAATGAGGAAGCCAATGTAGAAAATCCTGAGAACCTGTTACAGGGGGCTCCGTGGCAAAATGACACCAGGGCACGTGCTCCACAGCAAGTCAAGAGGGGTGGGAAAATTTGCCTCACACAGACTCCGAAAGTGCACCAACAAGGTGTACCCACCATCCACCCACAGGCCTCACGTTGAGTCTGCCAGCCCTGGCTCGCACCCCTCTGCCTACTGCGCGTGGAGAGCCCTCCCCTTGCCGCACCTTCTGCCTAAGCAGCTTTGTTAAGCCTGGGAGGCTTTTCACATCAGGTAGAAGTGGGTTACTCCCCTTGATCTCCCCTTAGGGCACTACAGTCAGGCTGGCAAAGCCACCTTGCTGTGTACAACCTGAGGGCAGCGCCGCAGAGCCGGGTACGGATGGGTCTGGAGGGCTGGCCTGAGCTGGGGCGAAGGGGCAAGTAGCCCCTCACGCCAAGCCACCACGGGACTCACCTCCTCCCTGGTTGCCACGACCCGCAGCTTGACGACTCCATCCTTGAGTTCCTGCTCACCCACGATGGCAACAAGGGGAATGCCCGTGTCCTCACAGTACTGCAGCTGATTCAGCAGCTTGGGGTTCTTCTTGTACAGTATTTCTGCCTGGAAGAGAACCAGAGCATAGCGTCACGATCAGCACCAGCCTGTTTCTCTGCAACCTCTCAACCAGGCACTGCTGGGCCAGTCTGCTAATCGCCGTCTGGTGAGCAGACTGGTGAGAGAGAAGGCCAGGCAGTACAGCTAACAAGAAATGCAGCACAGCTCAAATGTACTCACAAGATACTGCTTATCCTGGGAAAACACCGGGTCACTAGCTCTGCTCTGTGTCAAGCTGACCCCTGTGGTGTCCCCCACAGGGTCTGGAGCCCGGCGGAGCACCCAGGCATTCTCCTCTTCTCAGCCATCCAGGGACTCTGCCCTCAGCAGACAGGGAGCAGGGCCCTGCCACACAGCGTCCCTTCAGCCTGCCGAAACCAGCCCAGGCTCCTCCCTGTCCCCACTCCCCGCTTCTTGCAAGGCCCTGTGGGGTTTTGTGCTTTTATGCTGGAAGCAGTGTGGTATCCCACACTGCCACGCAGCAGGGGCTGGAGCGTTGCCCGCTTTGGGAATCTCCCCTGAGGTAACACAGAGCAACTCCTGCAGCGTTACAGCGTTAACCAAGTGACGCTGCCCAGGCCCTCCTGGAGAACGTCTAATTCGGGACACCGAGAAGAGGCAGGCTCCATTCAGGAAGGCAGTCTGCTGCCCACCTTCTCCCCAAGATCCTTCCTCCCAAAGCAAAGACAGATCCGGACCATTCCTGGCACAGAGAGTGGACCAGGCAGCTCCTGACTTGGCCATCACCTGGTCATACCTTGATTCCAGCATCCCACAGCTCGGCGATGAGCTTCAGCCGCTCTTCAAGGAGCTTCTTTTGGGCAGAGGCCACCAGCACCTGTGTCTCTGTTGTCCTGATCTTTTCCTCAGAGGCCTAGAGAGGGGACAAGGCTCAAAAGATGCCACAGACATACAGAGATATGAGAGACCCTATGAGCAGGACAGGTCCCCACCTCAGGCCCAGGAATTTAGTGGTGAAGAGGATCAGGCTCAGTGAGATAAACAGCATAAACTCAGGAGAGTCAGGGGAGGCCCCACAGATCCCATCCTGGAGCAGAATCACATCTTCTGCTGTTTTTCCTTGATAGGGGCTTAACGCTGGCATGCAGGCTGGAGGACGTGCTGAGAATGAGCAATTTTCCCTGCCAGCTTCTGCCTAGAGACTGCTCCTCCCCACCCAAGGGCCTCCCAGAGATCTGCTCCAAGCAGCTCAGGAGCAGCAGACCCGGCAGAAGCTGGAGAGAGGCAGCTGCCTGCTCTACAGGGTTAACCTAACTATGGGTTAGATTAACAGCAGTGAGTCGAGATGCTCCAGTGCCATCAGGAGCCACCTGCTCCAGTGGCAGATGCTGAATACTCAAAGTGGCATTTTCCTGCCACTGCTTTCGCTGAAGGGAGAAGCCTTTAAAAAGGTCACCTGCAGAGGAACAAACCGGGCCAGGACTGTAGGTGGTGGGGGAAAAATTGTTTCCACTTAGAAATCCCAGCTGTGTCTGACTGCCAAGACAGAACTCCCCATAACAAGCCTCTGGGAGAGGGAAACGTGCGGCAGTGTTTTGGGAGCCTACAAAGACCTATTTAACACCCACAGATTGGGACGGTGGACAACACATTGGTACAGCAACTCTGAGGAGGGGGGAATAGGAAAAAGGTAACTGGTAAAGCCCCAGAAGTGCTGCACTCCCTGCCCTGGGACACCCGATCCCTGACTGGTCGCTGTAGTGCCTCAGGCAGGATGAGCAGACATGCGAGGCTGCTGTCTCCCTGCAGCCTTGCAGAGCAACATCGCATTGGCAAGGAGGACGTGGGGTCACACAGATGTCTAATGCAGTGGGGAACACTAAGGCACCTGACCTGGGTACCTGGTACTGCCGAGGATTAAAGTGACCCCTCCAGCTGCAGTTGAAAAAGCCACCTCCAAGGGCTGATGGAAAAGGGATCTTGTATGCAGTGAAAGCCCCAGAGCTCATCTCCCAAGCCAGAGAAAACAGGAGATCATGTCCTGGTTCTAACTCCTGCTGCAGAGCACAGAAGAGGCCTGTCTGGCTTCTCCAAAGACTGCAGCAAGGAAGGCTCACTTCAGCATCTGCAGGACTTGGGGTACATACGGAGGATGTAAATCCTTGCTCTTTCTCCATGCTTAGCTGAGCACTAAAGGCACCTACCTCCACTCTCTGCTCCAGGATGGAGAAGATCCGCTCGATCCCAATGCTGACCCCCACGCAGGGCACCTTCCGTCCTTTGGGATCAAACATCCCCACCAGCCCGTCGTAGCGACCGCCTCCAGCCACGCTCCCAACGCTGACTGGCTCCTCCACATGGTCGTTCTCCTGCTGCAGCAGGACAGCCTCAAAGATCACCCCCGTGTAATAGTCCAGACCTCGCGCCAGGCTCAGGTCGAAAGAGATCTGTAGGACACAGGGAAGCCCCGTCACGGGGTGCACTCAGGAGGCCCAGGCTGCCCGACCACGGGGGCAGCACCCCCTCCTGCCTCTGCCCCTCCTCACCTTCCCCGTGATGCCAAACAGGGTCAGGTACTCAAACAGCAGCTTCATGTCCCCCAGCCCCTCCTTGGCCAGCTTGTTCTGGGACAGCTTGGGGTCCTGCAGAAGCCGCTCGATCAGCTCCAGGCCACCTGTGGGAGCGAGCCATGCCTCAGGTCTGCCAGTGCAGCAGCAGCCGCGACAAAGGGCCCGGCCAGCTGTGTGTGCACCTTGCACCCGTGTCGCTGGCCCTGCCTGCCCGGCCTGGAGGAACGAGGCCAAGGGCTCGACCCCACAGTGCTCACCATGAAGCTGGACGTACTCCCCAATGCGATCCGCAGCCTCAGGAGAGAGCCCCTTCTCTCCTACCATCTCATTCTTCACTTCTTCCCATGGCATCTGCGAGGGGAAGAGAAGAACATCAGCCACTGCTCCAGGGATGTGTTCTCTCCTGGGGAAAGTCTCTGGTGGTCCTGCCCAGTACAGACAGACATATCTGCCCTCAACAGATCTTTACACAGCAGAACTCCACCAGTGTCAGCGTGGTTAATAGTTGCATGAGAGAAGCCGCAGAGCAAATGCTCTCAGAGCATGGTCATACGGTCATAACTCCATTTCTTGTACCTCTGCACAGTCTGTATCCCAACCCTGCAGTCAGCAAAGCTGCCCAGAAACTTGAAGCCTCAGGACAAATAGTTTTGATTTATGGCCAGAAATCAAACATCTGTACTGTAACAGTACTGAGTTCAGGAGATGTCTTGCTGCTGTGCTTTCCCTGGTTAGGTACTTAGTCACAAACACCAGTCAAGAAAGCGTTGCTGGTCATGCCTACCACCTGGAAAGGTGTGAGGAGGTGGCTGGGTCATGCAAAAACCCAATGTAAAGCAGAACACGCTGCAGTTTTCCCACTGACCAAGGGGTCAAAGAGAAACAGAGTCTTAATCACATGCAGCTGCACTGAGGTAAATCACAGGTATGAAAACAAGGAGATTATCCCATTCTAAAGAAGACCAATCCTCCCTCCCTATTGCTTTTCCACACATACACAGCCCCAAACCCTACACTTTGGTCATGCCTTTGCAACGTATCTCACTGCTAGCAGGGCTTTAAGTGAGCCTTCCTCTAGTTGCCTTGATTTGACCATCAGACAAGGCCTCCAAAGGAAAACACAGTTCATCCTTGAACAAAGCAACGAGAACACAGGAGACGAGATACCAGGCCGCTTTGTTTAACAGGGTTTCACGGGAAGGTTAGGAGCACTCCTTTAAGCAGTCAGCCCACAGTTTCCCCAACATGACTCTGAACACACACAGAAATCTGCCTCCAAATTCTGCTTCAGATCCCGAGCCAAGAAAACTGAGGCTTTAGATTGCATTTCTTTTTAAGGTTCCTCTTCCTTAGCTATTGGCAGAAGAGTGTATACACATGACTGTATACACATTTATAGACTGATCTCCAGCATCTTTCTATCTGATTAGGGCCCACAGCCAAGACAATCAGCTGCAAATAAAAAGCTTTACCTACACTGGCACCTTTCCCTCCTCCCAAAGGGCCACATAAGGGCCCGAATCCCTTAGAGACCATAAGAACAGCCAGTGCTCTTGAGGCAGCTTGCTGAGCACAAACACGTAGGTACCTCCTGCCTTGTGTCTTACAGAAGCAGCTGCATATACAGAGGGCTATTCTGTGTCACACCAAACCCAAGTAAGCCACAGAAACAGCAACGTCTACACACAGCATGCTTTATAAAAGCACCTGTGCTATGTGCCCAGACCAGGAGAGGTGTGAATGAGGTGACCAGGAGACACGGGATGGGCTACCACCGCTCACAGCACCGGGAAGAGAGATTACAGCACCGAGCAGCATGTTGTCCCTGTGACCACATCTGCCCCACTAGAGTGCTGCAGACTCTAGGCCAGCCCCAAGGAACCGTGTTCCTAGCAAAACATGCTTGCACTGATGGCAGCCACAGGTGAGAGTTAAGACATGCTGTGGGGGCACACAGGGCAGCACACCACCAAACAAACCAGCCTCTCCCTGCCCAGATGGCAGGAATGTGCTGCTGGTGTTACGTTTCAGTTCTGTGTTTCTGATCTCTAACTCCTTCTCACTCCAAATCCTTTTCTCTACTTGCAGGTAAAATACATCTCATCCATACACCTCCACTTCACGTCTCTGCTGCCTCCCCGCTGCTCCTCACCGACTCCTGAGGGTCCCACAAGCAGCCAGAGGCACACGCTGTCCAGCGGTGTCCCGATCATACTGAAACAGCCTGGCCAGCAACATGCGCATGCTGCAGACTCCCTGTCCTCAGCAGAGATGCTACACATCACATCACCAATCGAGAATAGGACCAGCTTGCAGGACAGTATTTATGAATAGGGTCCTGGACAACACAACTCTGGCAGCCTACTCACCTGTGGATTTCCACTTAACTCAGCCCTGTCACCTGCAAGCTGTCTTACAGACTACGATTAGAGATTGTCACTTACAACTGCACTTCTCTACTCCTGCATTACCACAGAGATTTACCGTTTATGTCATGCTCACCCTGCAACTGAAGTCTGAAATTTTAGTAAAGGTTGGACCGGATGATCTTTTGAGATAATCTAGGCTGTTCTATCCAGGACACAGCTGTGATTCCTCACACCACCCGACTGAACCTAACACATTTGAAAAGGCTTTTCAATGCCTCAGCCTAGTCCTGGGGGCAGGTTTTCATGACTCTGGTTCATAAGCAGCAGCACATTAAGAAGGCTAATGTTTCGGATGTTGAATATCCCACGGGAAGAGCAATTCCCCTCCCTCCTTTCCATTCGTCAGGACCTCATGGGATACTGGAGAAGAAAGCACAGGATGCAGTTTTCCTATGTGACTGCTGTGCTCCGTGTGCCTCCCCTCCAGAGAAAGGGGGGAACAAGAACTCAATGTTTATCAGCATTTTCCAGCCAATTCTCATGGACTGTGGTAAGAGCAGCCCAGAAGGACAGAGACTCACTGAAACTCCATCAGCGGCAGTTGCAGCCCAGGGCTCCAGCCCGTACCTTATCCAGTTTGTCAACACTGGAGCAGATTGTTCGGAACTTGCTGTCTGGGACACCACAAACCGCAAACATCCCATCAAGGATGCGCCGATCGTTGACCTGGGGGAGAGAGAGCAAGTCATTAGCTATGAACTCAAACAGATGCTTCAGCTGTGTCCAGTTTTTCTCCTCTCGAGTTTTAAGTCTCTCTCCCATTTCTGGGGAGTTGAGCTGCCTCTCTGCCCGCAGCAGGCCAGCTAACACAACTGACTACTACCAAGCCTGGGTAGAGCTATTGTAGTCTCCTTCTAGAGCCACAGACACCTCCACTCAACAGAGAAGAAAAACCAACGGGGCCTAGTGAGTCCTTTCATGAGGACATGTAAAAACAGCTACAGACTAAGGAGATGAATTCAGTGCATTACCCTGCTCTCTCAGTGTAAGAACAAAGGGACCTCTGATTATGTTAAAAGCTTGCTAAGGAATTATTTTTTTGTTGGTAGTATACTTTAATTATGCTCTGTAATAGTAGGTAATTGACACCAAAGGATCAACTGGACTCAACATTTCCATGGGTAGTGAGAACATTTGCAATTAAATTAGACAGAAACAAAGACTGCTCGGGAGTTTGTAACCCTCCAGCATCAACACAAACCTGACAGTGGCTCATGGAAGACAAGAATAACTGCAGGCAGGTTATTCTGCCATTCCCCGTTGCAGAGCTGCCTTTTCATCCTCAAAGGCATTCGCTTTCACCACTGTCCAAACACACAATAGCTGGAGAGGCAGTTCCTGTGCAGAGCTCCTCAGCTCATCCCAGACGGGTTCGAGGGCAGGTAACTGTCCCCCTACCCAGTGGGGGCTGCACATAGAAGCGCAACATGCAGCCCACACTGCTCACCTCCCCTGCAGAGCGCAGCAAAGACCCAGCTCTTGGTCCCTCTCAGAGTTCCCACCACCCTCCTGTACATCAGGCACTCCTACCCATCGGTCTCCTACTGCTGCAAACCGTTCCCCTTCCTGCCTGACCTGTACCATTTGCTGCCACACCAAGGCAACAGAGGTGTTTTGATGCAAATAGCAATCTCAACATACAGGAGGGTATGGGTCATCTTCTGGAAGAGGCCTCAACCCCAAAAAGGACTTGGTGGGAAGGCAGGAGTCTGCAGACAACACAGCGCTCACACTGAGCAGATGTCCCTACCTAAGGGAAATCAGGAGCTGGGACAATGCTGAGATGCTGGGCCAGAGCCTGCATTTTACTGCAGGCAGTGAATAGGACAGTCACCTGGTTAGTTGGCTGCTGGATGTTTTGCAGGGGACTGTGGTTAGTGCTAGAGAGAACTCAACTGCAGCCCCAGGAAACCTCCCTGCATTGCCAGCTAAAGGTAGGTCTGAGCTGAGGTCCAGCCTTTTAGCATGAGGATGCAGAGAGGTGGGATGAACTATGGCTTCTGGATCAGGCTTTGGTGGGCGTTAGAGTGGGAACAGGTGCCACTGTGTAAAACTACAGGAACAACGACTGCTGCTTCTCACCGTGGCACAGAGAAACCCACCCGGTCTCACCTTAACAAGAAAGTCCCCAAGCTGCAGGTCACTCAGGATCTCGTGCACAATCTTCAGGCACTCGGCATCGGGAATCATCGGGTCGAACTGGCCAGCGATGTCAAAATCCTGGGGCACAGGAAAAGGCAGTGAGCAATTAAGGACCGCTAGTGTGGCTGCAGCGACACAGCTTCAACTCTGCTGTTAACAGCAGTTTGTTTACAAAAAGCAACAGAAATGGGATGTAAAGCAGCACTAGCCCTCCCTAGTAGGATCCAGAGGGGACAGGATGTGGGTTATGACCCTCTTTCATTGAAGGTGGCAGTGGTCTTGTGCCCACTGCACTGCAACGAGTTTGTATTCTGTGTTGTGGCCAGTGCAGCCAGTTTGCAAGAAGCTGTTTTGCTTCTGGAGGTGTGTGACCTGCTCCCTGCCTCTGACGCAGCTGTTTACTGCACGATATGCTTTGAAACAGAGATCCTTGAAAAACAACAACAAGGAGACAGCAGAGAGATTATCAGCAGTAAATAAATAGAACAAAGAAATCAGGAAGGGGAGGAGAAAACTACTTATTATTTGGTATGACTTAAATGCCAAATGTTTCACCTTGATTCTTAGGATATTCTTTTTTTAATACACACGCCAATCAAGCTAATGATCAGGGAAGAAAACAACATAAGCAATCTCCACTGAGGCAAAACCAAAGCTTCAACTGCCAAGACTGAGAAAGAAATCAGAACGCCCGAGTGCTTTGCACCACAGATTACCAGATGAACTAGCACATAGACCCAAAGCACAACAGCAAGATGTTTTAATAGGCTGGTACCCTGTGATTGGAAAATAGCAAAGACAACATCACTGCTCAGAGAGAAATAAAACACAGAAGCAACAAGAGACCGCTCATTTATGAATCCCCAAATGCAAAGCCCTCAGTAAGATTCTGAGGACAAGAATAATTTTAATTACGTGGGTAAATTTCAACCTGGCTTCCCTAAGCTTCCAAAATAAATTAGGGCAATGGAGGAGGAAAAAGATAAGATCACATCAGTTAATCCCCAATCAGCAGAGTGCAAGAAAGGCTGATGCAATCCCCGTGGAAGTTGGGTGAGGTCTGCTACAGTCAGGAAAGCGCTGCTACCACTGTTCGTGGCACAGGTGAAACCTCACCGAAAAAAAAAAACAACCAAGGGCTGGTGAATTATTTTTAAGAAAAGATGCAGAAAAAAGCTGCTAGACTGAGCAAAGCATCTCCTGGGAGAGAAGGCAACAGAGCTTGATTTACATGACCTAAGGAGGGGAAGATTTCTCTAAATGTTTCCCAAATGTTTATCTGGGAATTGGGAAGAATCCACATCAAGGGAGGATAGCTACCATTTAAAGACCTGCGCTGGCACAAGGAGAAGTAAACAATCAGACACAAGTTTAGTCTGGATATTAGAAAACTATTTCTAGCTATCCTAGGAGTGAGATCTTGGAACAGTCTTTCAGATGAGAGAGCAGGCAAAGACCTCAAGTTGTCTGGAAACCAGAATTCAACAAGGTGGAGGTGGAAAGTATCTACAGGGGTTGTATGATGGAACTGGAATTTCTCAAACAGGAATGTGTTTGCAGTATGAAGCCCTGGGGACTGTGTTAGTGCAGCGGAACAAAGCCATTCCTTGGGGCTACCACACTCCATCCGAGAAAGCCACAAAGGAAATTGCTTTCTTACCTGTTCTGTAATTTGGCCTCAGGGTTTTTCCCTTCCTTTGAAACAGATTGACTAAGCGTGGGACAGAAGCAGCATATGCTATGGCTGAGTCACTTGCTTGCCTGGTTCATGCGTCCTGCTAACACAGCCAAGAGTTCAACTGTTGCCAGATTTGGGATCAGAAGGAAATTCTTTCTCTCCACTATGCTGGCAAGCACTGGGGGACAGAGAAAGGAGCTGCCCTCCTCCACAGTGCAAAGCACACCACGTACCTGGGGCAACTGGGGGCTGTATTGCAAAGTTCCCTGATGCACCAGCACCCCGTGTGCCAGCCATCCTCCTCTCCCACTCTCAAGCTGTTTTTCACACCCATAAGGAGATAAGTGGATCCTCCTGAGCTTTTCAACACCACAGGAGAGGCCACTACAGGGTAACACAACCTTTGGCCCTACGTTTTTGTGGTGCTACATCCCCACAAGCGCTGCCCAGCCTACACCCCCGCTCAGCAGCATCCCTGGCAATGGCCAAACTCACACACTGGTAGAACTCCCTGTAGCGGCCCCTTGTCATGGCCGGGTTGTCCCGCCTGTAGACCTTAGCGATGTGGTACCGCTTAATGTTGGTGATCTTGTTCATCGCCAAATAGCGAGCGAAGGGCACCTGAGACAGTAGGGTTAAGGATGGGAACAGGGAGGGATCACCCCACCCAGTTATCAGTCACAGGCAGTGCTGGGTCCTCACTATCTCCCCAACACCCAGCACAGTGTGGCACACACCCGTGGGGCAAAACAACTGCTAAGAGATGGCTGCGCTTGCCACAGCTCCCCAAGGTCTCCACAACTGTCCAAGAGACGGCCCACACATGCTGCCATTAAGTGTCCCGACAGGCATCTTCCAGCACCACCTCAGGTTGGACCTCAGTCTCACACGGGCTGTGTACTGCAGCAGCCTCGTCTGCGCACCCTGCTGTAGGAGAAACCCCGCTCAATACAGATCTTCCTTCCCTCCACATACAAGTGTTACTTGGCCAAACAGATGCAACATACAGTAAATAACTGAGCAAGGGTTCTGCACCCACTGAACCACACTCCCTCTCGGTATACAGTCAGAGCCAAAGGACTGTCCACCCTCCTCCTCCCTTGCCCTCTGGACAGCTGTCCTGGTTTGAGCGACACAGGACTAATTTCTCTTCTAATACTTGGGAAGACTGCGCTTTTAGAAGACTCTAGTGTCTGAATTTGTGAAAATATTTATAGCCAGCTATGGTGTGTGGGTTTCAAGGTCTCGTGCTTTCAAGCTTGTCAGGTACAGGGATGAGAAGTGAGACCCAAGCTGGCCAACAGGATTATTTCATACCATCAGTATCATATTCAATATAAATTAGAAAGTTTGCTGAGAAGTTCTCTCTCTCCCCTGACAGCTGCCATCCTGAGAACCTCCTGCCCCAGTGCCGGCGCCCTGAGCCCTTCCCTTCCTCCTGAAGCCATAGTGCGCGATATTTACTGTCTGCTGCTGGGAGTGCACAGCTCCCTACTGATAGAATTGGCTGAGTATGATTTTTGCATATTCCATATTGGTATCAAGATCAATATTGGTTCTTCAGTGCTGTTAATGTTAATTATCTAATCTTATTCTATTAAATCTGTTTATATTTCAACCCCCATGTTTCCTTGTTTTTTCCCCTGATTCCCCTTCCCAGGTGGGGAGGGGTCATTGGATGATAGAATAATTGTTTGAATGACAATAAGGGTTGTTTTAGGTTTCTCAAACCATAACAACAGCGCTGCCCCAAAAGGAGGGCAGCAAAGATGAGAAGAGCCCTCAACACTGGCTGTGGCAGGATACTGTGAGGTCATAGCGCAGGGACAGCAGCTCTCCTCCTTGATCTTTCAGATCGTAGATGAGCTTAGAGTCTTCACCGTATTTCCCCGTCAGCGTCTCCTACAACAAAAGGACACAAAACCAAACAGCGTCTTCAGTGAAAAGGGATCAGCCCTAGAGCACACAGAAAACAAGGAGAGAAAGGGAGGACGCCTAAGAGATGGAAGAAGAAAACTTAGCCCTTGACACATTGCAAGCTTTCAACTGCTAGATCTTCACCAGCTGAGCCAACTTGCTGTGTCCTCACTTACCTTCAGCTCAAACACTGGCGTATCAATGACTTCTGCTCCGTGGCGCTTGAAGCAGGTGATGATTGCATTGAAGACTCTCTCACGAATGGCCATTTGCTTAGGGCTGTAGTCCCGCGTGCCCTGGGGTGAGGTAAGGAAAAGAAGAGCGAAGGACACACTGAGTTAGAGGCATGCAGTGGAGACAGATGTGAGAGGTGATGTGAAAAAGCTATCATACTGCTAACAAAGCCAGAGAGATCACGTCCAGACACCAGATATTGGGAGAGGCGGTAAAAAGCAGCACCGAATAATACTGGAAAACATCAGGACACAGCTCAGAAGTGCCATGGTCTGCAGGGCTAGATCCGATTCAGGAGTTTCATCATGCAAGAAACAAAGGAGCTAACACAGATCCAACACTCAGAGAGTTCAGAATGTCTGAGTATGACAGCACAGCTAGGATCTGTCCACAGCTCCAGTTCAAACGTATTAGCCAGACCCTTGCACAATGAGCCACCCTGAGAGGAGGAATGAGAGGACAGGCATGCTTTGAAGCTATGAAACAACCAGCAGCTCTACAATTTCCAAATATACACAGAGAGCAAATCATCTTTTCAAAGTGCAATACCTGTCTACTGTTCACTGGGATGTGCTCCCTTTTAATTATTTCATTGACCACCTTTAGGCTCTCAGCAACACATAAATCATTATTAATTAACTAGACCTCCCACTTTCTTTTTCTAGGGACTAGCAGTAAGTCAAAGAGGATGCAGAAAGAGCAGGCACTTCATAACACCCCACCTGCAGGTCGCACAGCGAAAAGCAGCTCTCTGCGGTACACTGACGTGGCTGAGACAGGCTGGAAACCCAAGCTGTATCCCTGGCACTCACAGAGCTGCAAAATCCTCTCTCCACATCTTTAATCAGTGAAATAGCCTTCCACTTTCCAGGTCTCACAGCACAGTTACATTTACCAAAACATATGATAAAGGAAATGGACAAGGGAGACAGTTTTGAGGCATTTCCTAGGTCAGTGGCATTCACATAACCTATTTTACTTGTGAGCAACATTCACAACTGTCTCCACACCACCGCATGGAAATGGAGTTGCTCTCTGGTCAGCTGACAGTGATGAAACACTCAGCATACAAAAAATTTCAGCATAAATTGCATTCCAGACACTATTTTCAGGGACCTGGGGACTGAAAAGCTTAGCCAGAAGGAGGGTCCTTCTGCAAGAAGACACAAAAAATGTCAGCAGCTGGCCAGACCTGCTCAGTAAACAGGATTACCCACTTCCACAGACTAAGGCAAGACCAAAACCCACTCCCTTGCTCCTCACATTTCACCATGTGCTGAACATTTCTAGCAAACACTGCCAGGCATCTGAGTTTCTTTGGCTGGCTTACGCTTTGCAGTTCCCTTGCAATGAGCCTCGCACCAGCAGAGCTACACTCTGTTCACTCAACCTCCCTCCATCCACTCCCTCCAGGTTAACAGGGAACAGGCCCTGCCTGAGGATCCTTGATCCACAAAAGCCAATGTCTGCAGGCACTAGTGGGGTTGGTGCTACGAGAGCTGAAGAGTCCTGGCCCTAAACTCATCGGGGTGATGCAAGTCATGACCTTACTTCAAATAGTGGAATTCAAGCAGATACGAGACCTCTCACACTGGGCAGCTAAGACAAAACTTGACCAAAAGGGAATTTAATTTCCCGACCACACCAGCTAGTGGGGTTGGCTTGTCACAGAAACACCATTAAGTCTTTAAATTAGTAGGGTATCTGGGCCAGATGCTGTCAGGGATGTCTTCACCTCTCTTTTCACTGCTGCTACAAGCGAAAAGGGAAACAGAAAGGAGACCAAAGACAGGCAAGTCTGTCCTAAGATTCTGCACACACAGGTGCATGAGGGGTGCTGTGTGTATACGGGAGCAGGTTGTGCATACAGAGAGGCATGCGAGTGCATGCGCTGGGGGACGTTACCTTTGGGGTCTTGAGCACAAACTTGTGTTTCCCCTCATCTCCCCCTAGTTGTGCCTTCATCTCCAGCAGTTTTGCCACCTCCTTGGCGATCTGGGGAGGGAACAAGGAGAGAGCTGGTGTAAGCCCACCTGCCAGGCCCAGCCCACAGGCATTCCCCAATACCTTCAGCCTCAGCATTCCCAGTACACCCAGATTCCCCAGCCTCAACACATCCACTATTCCCAGCCTCCTACAGCCGCCAGAGGAGCACTCCCTGCTCCCGTCCTACCAGCCTCCACACCACCAGCTTCTGCTACATGTACCCCAGCAACGGCAGTCTCCAGCATTCTCCTCCCAACCCTAACACCCTCAAGCATCACTCTCTCTAATCTAACAGCAGTACCATCCGTTCCCACTGCCAGTCTCCCCAGGCACCTCAGTCCCTCCGCTCTGCAGCCCAAACCACCCATCTTCCCAATGCCACCACCCCTAGTCCAGCAACACCAACACCAGTACTCCCAGTTCCCCACAGCACCCTCCCCCTAAACCCAGCAACCCCAACCACACCCTAATCACCTCAGCAGCCCTCTCTCCAGCCCAGCACCAACACCCCCAGGTCCCCCCATGCCCCTCTTCCCCATCCCAACACCCCGAGTGCCCCAGCCGCCTCTCCCCAGGCCAGCTGCCCCCTCCCAGTCACACCAGTCTCCCAGCACCCCACTCCCAGCAACCTCCCAGCACCCCCCTTCCCCAACTCCGCCCCGAAGCCCCGCCAACCCCTTCCCAGCCCCTGGGTGGCCGGCCGCACCTCGTCGGGATCGGTTTTATCCTGCTTGAGCCGCCGCACCGCCTCCGCCTGCGCCCGCACCGCCGCCTCCTCCGCCATTGCCGGCCCGCGCCTGCGCACTTCCGCCTCGCCGCCGCCGCGCATGCGCACTGCCGCCGGACGGGGGCTGCGCCTGCGCACTGCCGCTCCCGTCCGTTGCCACGGCAACGGGCCCTTCCCTCAGCGGCCCGAAGACTGCGGGGAAACGCGCCGACGTCGCGCAGCTCCGATAAACGCCCGGGGGGCGATTTGGGTTTGGTTTTTTTTTCTTTTTAATATATAAAAATACAGAGTTCCTCCACACTCGCCCCAGCCAGAGCCTGCCCGCGCAGCTGCACCAGCCCCCTGTTGTGTCCCCACCTCGGGTGCAGCCCGTGCTCTCCCCAGGCCAGGCTGCCCCCGGAGCACTCCTGGCCCTGTACCCGACGGCAGAGCCCAGCTTGCAGCCCTCAGAGGGGTGGGGGTGGCCTTCCACTGCCACCCTCTCCCTACGTCCTGACCCTGCGGGTACCTAATGCACCACAGGTTTCCATACACACACTCCAGAGCCACCACCACGACTGCCTACAGCAGATGGAAATGGCTGCAGAGTCACAGGTACTGCAATATTAGGAACCCACAAGCTTGACCCATCCTTCAGAGCAGTTAACCAGAAGATTAACCTGGTGACTGCACTGTCCGTAGCTTTTAAAACCCTCTTGCTCCTTTCCAAGGAGATACCCTGTGTTGACACTGCCTTAGCCCAGGCAGATGAGCCTCAGGTGACCAGATTTCAGCAGGTTTTCTAAGGGCACTGGAGGTTTCCAGTTGTACAGCAGTTCAGTCAAGCAGCTCTGGGCAGAAAAGTCCTAGGGCTCCAGCCGCCTTCTGATCTCTTCAAGCAGCTTTTCTCTTGGGATATCAACCTACAAAGCAAACGGAGAGAAGGAGGTAGCACGACTAGAACCCTGAACAGAGCACCATTTGATCACCCCAAGGACTTGCTGTGGATACCAATGCAGTTTGTGACTGGTTTTCTGGAGCAGTCAGCCAATAGATCTGTGCTACAGCTCCCCAAAGCAACAATGTCACTGAGGGAGAACCCAGAGCCTTTCAATAATCTAGAGTTTTGGAAGCACTTTTGAAACCCAGTGTAAAAAGGCATTCTCACCTCCTCTCTTGTTGCAACATCTCGCAGCTTGACGACACCATCTGTCAGCTCTTGCTCTCCTACAATGGCAGCAAGGGGGATCCCCGTGTCCTCGCAATACTGCAGCTGCTTCAGCAGTTTAGGGTCCTTCTTGTACAGCATCTCTGCCTAGGAGGGAGTGGAAAAGGTGAATCATTAACACAAAATTTGCTCTGATGGATCTTGGAGCAAAACAGCCAGCACAAAACCCCACAGAAAACTGGCTCATTATTTCTGCAGCAAGCGGTTGATTTTAGTGCTCTTGGCTGTTCTCTGCCTGCTAGATCTCAGACAGGCCCAGATCGTGAAGAGACACACAACTAATGGAGTTGGTCTTACTGTGCCACAGCTCCCTTCAGGCTCTCCCACCCTCACCTGTACCAGTGCCAAGGCCCAAGTCCTTACTTTTACCTTGATCCCTGCGTCCCACAGCTCGGAAATGAGCTTCAGTCTCGCAGCGACTAAGTGTTTCTGAGGTGTAGCCACCAGCACTTGTGTCTCAGTCGTTCGAATTTTCTCCCCAGAAGCCTGCAGGGAGAGACATGCTGGTGGGAGTGACGGGCTCTGAGGGAATCTGCAGAAGCTCATCTCACCTTATCTTCAGACCTTAACATGCTCCTTAAAACAAGCATGCTTAAAAGCTAACCATCACCGTTCAATGAACACTACTGAGCAAGGCTAACCTTCCAGAAGCAAAAAGAGTGCACAGATAAGACAACCTGGGCACATTTAATGAGTCCCCCAGAGAATCTGCATTGTGACACACTACTTAATCCTGTGCTGCTGTTCCCGTGGGACCTTGGACTTCCTTTCCCACCCCTGGATGGGACCTGGACAGCTTTCTGATGTCTCCTTTGATTCTTCAGGTACACACAGATTCCCTCAGCCTCACTTGCTGTGAATGACAAGCTCAGAACTAAATGCAGAGTGACGAAATTCCTCACTGGCTTTCCTAGGGTGCTCATTACAGAGTGCCACAGCTGCTACCAAATTCATCACTTCACAATCCCCAGGGTCAGAAAACTTCACAGCGAAGAGACAACAGCAAAGTCACTTGGGCACAAAGTTCAGAGATAGGACCAGAGCTCAGGGCCTGTCTCAAACAATTCGTAGGCGTCTGCTACGAAATGCTGCCCTCAGCTGCCCATGCCTGCATCCTGATGGGCTGCAGAAAATGGCTGTGTCTTTTGTGCACGGACATTCAGGCATGAAAGGAACCATCTTCTCCCCCCAAATTCTCTACTCTTGAATATGGTGAAGTTGTAGAGCTCTGTAGCAAACAATAGATGGCTTCCTAGAGCCTTTCCCCATGCCATGCACCACCTACCTTCACTCTCTGCTCCAGGATGGAGAAGATCCGCTCGATCCCAATGCTGACCCCCACGCAGGGCACCTTCCGTCCTTTGGGATCAAACATCCCCACCAGCCCGTCGTAGCGACCGCCTCCAGCCACGCTCCCAACGCTGACTGGCTCCTCCCCCTGGGCGTTCTCCTGCTGC